AAATGCCCTCGAAACGTCGGTGAACTTAAAATAAGTTTTAATTTTCCTGTCCTAATACCCACAAACCTAACCTCAAAAAATTTGTTAAAAGGACAAAACTACTATGGATAATTTAATCTGGAGTTAGTTTTAACGTAAAATAAAATTTGTGTTAAATAGATAATCTTCGGTGTTTCCTTAATCCCCACCTCAGTTCAGGACGACAGACCATTACCATTACCATTACTTTGCTTTAAGACAATTAGGATGATAAGTTTAATGTTTTTGGCGCATAACTCTGCTTTGGCTGTTACCGACACATATATGTATACTGAAATACCCGACTCGTCACTCAAATGTACACTATTCCACCTCTTCATATCCCAATTTTGATGATTTTAGACCATTTCAACTTGTACTTCTTCTTTAGGGTTAATGACGGGTTTTCTTGAACTTAAAGGGAAAAATAATTTGCAACTTTAGATTGAACTCAGGAAACACACTGTAGAGTACAGTCTCTGTAGTGTAGCACGCTTTTTAGACTTAATAATCCTGGCCAAAGCTCTTAATGGCAAAAAGTACTTTAAGCACTTTTGGTGTTGGGAAACATTTTTAATAGTTGTTTAACCAATTAAATAAAATGTCTACAAATGCAAATTTTTTATTAAAGTTTGGTTTGATTTACAGGTATTCCAAAGAATTATTTATATATCGTCGCTGCGTTTGCATGAACCGGGCAGCAAAGATATACCTATTTAAATTCAAATATTGTCGCGCTTTTATTAATCGACATGCGCAATAGCCTGGGCTTTTTTGGACTCTAGGTTGTAAACGGTCATAATTTGGTTCAAATTTAAACGTAATTAGAACTGAAAAATCGGGAAAATGGATTATCTGCCATGTTTTAGGTTAAAAGTTGGTTATGTTTAGGCGAAAATAAAACCGTTTGAGACGGAAATTGTTCAGACTTATTAGGTTTAAATTACGATCTAAATTTTGACTCGGGCACGCTATCCAGATAAAAGCTCATATTATATGAAAAAGTGGTTTCGAGATGTCAATGATGATCAATTAAAAAGTAAAATGGACGGTCATATAATTATACTAAAAGCTGGTGAGGTGTTAAAAGAAAAAACTTGTTATTTTTACGAAACGGGAGAAAGATCTAATAAATATATTTCCGGATCACGAAACATGGCATACTAAATTGTTCCACGCTGATAATATGAAAAGCATTGAATTTAGCAGCATTACCGAGTACGGAATAAAAAGAGCGAAGCCTGTACTAATACTACCCATAATTACCGTTGTAGGACGAGCTAGTTCTCGCGATACGTGAAGGAATACGACTGCTTCAGCCCATGAATCAAAAAAAGCTCATGCTTTTACTACGATAATATGATAGACATAGAAATCTCCAAGTATACCAGCTAGGTTTAATAAAAATTAGCATTTTTTTGAAAAATGCTACAATTTTGGTTAACCGGACAAAAAAAGTGTTTTAATCATAAAGGGTCCGACCAGAATGCACACAGAACATACTTAACTCTCTAAAAATGAAATAGTCATAATTCTACTATTTGAATTAGTACCAGCATTTTTTACTAATAAAATAGTCGTTTTCACTTTTAACTAGTTATTTTTTACTACGTAAATAGTTAGAGTTTGACTAATTTAAGATTGGTTACAATCTTTGACTATTTCTGAGAGTTAAAAATAATTAATTTCTTTAATCGTTTGCGGCCAACAACAAAGTATTATTTGAATTAAATGCATATACCTAAGCTCCATGGTTAAATGACCCATAAAAACAAATAAAGATGCAAAAAGTTTATCTCAAAACAGCAACACAAATAATATATTCAACTTTAAAATATTATGAACATATTTATTGGCAAATAAAATTGATATTTATAAGAGTGAAACGTAAACATATTTAATAGTAAATCATATGCTTTAATGTAACTTCAGGAGTGTTTATTGGTAGAAATGAGATCTTCTTTTCCGCGAAAATACTGACATTTGGTATCAAAATTTGGTAATTATTTTCTGACTTTAATTCTTGTTCTGATGAAAGTTTTTCTGGAGGTGTAATGCTCTTTTAGTCATATTAAATATGTGAATAGGACCATGTTTGCACGTAGGCTTGGTGTTGATGTAAAACTACGTTTTAGCTATAGCTAACAAAGGTCCAGGAAAGCTAGCACATTCCCTATGGCTGACGTGAGCTAATAGGATTATTCGTTTATATGTGGGGACAGCAAATCCATCGGAAAACCTAAAATAATTGGCTACTTTTATCATGAACGTGGTTTTACATCAACACCAAGCCTGCATGCAAACATGGTCCTATTCACATATATAATATGACTAAAAGAGCATTACACCTTCAGAAAAACTTGAATGCTATATAACTATAGTTATAAAGAATATTCAGCGAAATATTTATCCCAAAAACCTATTACTTGCTATGTTACCTACAATATATCTATCGATCAGAGAACTAGCATTGCCGAAAATATTAAAGCCGAGAAAAGAATCAAAATGTTCGAGATTACGGGAATTAAAGCTTCCACAACTTAATACTGAAGCATTACATTTTTACGAGTTAATTCACTGGGCGACAGAAAAGGTGACTGAACCACCTATGACTATGAAATACGATGACAGAAATTACCGATATGATTTCTTCGGGTGACCATTTCCTATACTTCCAAAAATTTCCGTGTCACTCCCAAGCAGTGGAACGCTGTGTTAAACTGGTTATAACCAGTATACTGAATCTTCAGTCTCGGTTTGTGGATCGAAAGCAAGAGATGGTTTCATCAGAACAAGAATTACAGTCAAAAAATAATTACCAAATTTTGATACCAAATGCCAGTATTTTCGCGAAAAAGAAGATTTCATTTCTACCAATAAACACTCCTGAAGTTACTTAAAGCATATGATTTAAATAAATAAAATAAATAAATAAATCGTTTATTAGCGAAAGCTATAAATGTTACATTTTATATATAAATATACTTATTATCACAATCCAAAATCAAATGTTTGTGTGTACATAAAATGATAGTGCCCTTTTAAATTTACTATAATTTGACTCACTTTTAATTATCACAGGTAAGTTATTAAACAAAATTAGACCATTATAGAATATTGTTCTATAAAGAGCACAACCACTTGCTGTATCCACATAAAAATCACTTGCTGTTCTCGTGTTATATTCATGAACATTATTAACAAATATTAATTTGCTATATAAATACAATGGTGTCATTTTATTTTTTATTTTATAAACTAAATCAAGAGTACGGTATAAGAGTCTTTGGTTAACATTCATAAAATTGAGGACTTCCAACATAATATTAATTGGAGTATATCTGTTACTATTAAATATGTTTACGTTTTACGTTAATTTTTCTAAAATAAACTTTTTATTTATAAATAATGCTATTTTTATTACTTTGATTGAAGTAATATTTTTTTAGAATTTTCAAAACTTCGAGACAGATGCGCCACCTTAAGATATTAAAAAATTGGAATATTTTTTCGATATTTATTCATTTTACGCCTTTAGTCAACAATTAATAATATAGGAAAAATCAATTAATAAATTTAAAAAAATTCACTCCACCCTATTATACATTAATATGAATATTTTTTTTTTTGATTTGCTTGTAAAGCTTGACAAGTGACAGACCTGAGTTCAATCCCCGGCTGGGTCAAAACTTTTTTAAAATTTAAATCTACTAATTTGACTATTTCATTCAGTAGAATTTGACTAATTATTAGTGACTGCTTTTTCGCTATGACAATTAGTCAAATATGACTTATAATTATAAGTCATATTTAATTATAATTAGTGATTTTTGACTAATTCATTTTAAAAGAGAACGTTTCTGATTCCAGAGATCAGAGTAACTTCAATTAAATCGACCATCGTGGTCGATGAATTTCCATAATTCATCAACGAGTCACTCAATGCGAACGTTTTGACTCCTAATAAGCAGCAAAACTATTGTTATGTGAAACTTATACGTAGAGTACCTTTAAGAAGTCACTCTGGAAAGTCGACATAATTATAGGCTGGGATGTAATAGGAATACACGTTGCAAAAAAAGTATAGTTTAGAATCTTAACTTTATATCTTTAACTCACATCTTAGTTCCACCAAAACTTCGACCTGTGCAAATAAAAAAGTTAAACGAGCGGAGACAGACGGAATTGGACCAATTCTAATTTTTACAACTTTTAAAAATAGCATAGTATATTTTTTCTGGATGTTTTATCATTGATTTTTTTACAAATTCATAAAAATTTCAATCTGCTTCAAAGTTTTGAGAATTTTTTGTATATTTTTATTGTTCAATAAAAAAATTAATTACTTTAAAATAGGCATACCTACAAGTTGCTGTTCCTCTAGTTTAGAAAATCTTGAACAAAACTGGTAGTATTGTAGTCGATTGAGTCAATTATATCATTTGATTGTTGTTTTATTGGTAATAATACATACAGTGGAATATTGATTTCATTCAACTAGTGTACAATGTAGAATTATTGGAATAATTATGTTATTGTAGGTAGTTCACTTACTAAACTAATTTATAACCAAATACTGCAAACAATGGCAAAGTGAAATCAAGCCCTGACATGTACGTATCATCCTATATTTGTTTCGACAATGTCAATAATCGGATAAATTTGCAGATAAATGAATTTGTGGCGCAAAAAGATTAGTCACAAACACGTGTTAATTGAACTGTTAAGTTCGTTCTGACTCGCTTGTATTATGCCAACAGTGGTGGGCTGTAATTATAAATGGATGAGCGATGACGGAAATTGCAAACGCTTATGCCATTACGGATCGGTTAGAGTGAATGTTTGATTTTGGATAAGGTAATTCCCCGATGAATGGGGGATGTGTTACCAACTAATTATGTCCATGCGCATACACAGATCATCTGACGTGTCTCTTTATTGTTGATTTAACCCAAAAGGTTAAACTAACTGACTTGTTCCAGGTATTCCGGAAGAAGGGCCCGTACTGAGAACAGAGGTTCAGAAAGTGGCACCGGGTGCTGAGATTAGAGCCAATTGCACTACTGCAGGATCATTCCCCAGTATGAACGTGACTTGGACTATTAACGACAAAGAGGTAAGTAGAAAATGTAAAAACAAAGTTGTTTAAAGACAAAAACCTGGCATGGTTTTCTAGTTTATTTTCAAAATAGGAAATAATATGCTATTTTTTTATTCTTATTCTTCTAATTAAAATTAAAAATAATTAATCCTTAAATGATCTTAAGATCATTTAACGTCAACAATAATGACTTGCCAACCTCGCACGGTATTTAACCCGTCTTCGGCAACTACCAAGACTTAACGGCCCCAGAAACGGCTTTGGCCACTTTTTTGTTACACATCCTTTACCTGAAAAAAAATTTCAATTTTTGAGGTTTTGCCGATATTTTCGAGAATTGTGCGGCGGGCAAATATATAATAACCGTCGCAACAAACAGTATACGTAGACACTTCCTATATTCAAATGACATTTGATTTGATCATCAAATGACATTTGATTTAATCATCAATATTAATTATTAGTATTATTAAATGTAATTTCGGATAAAATTTAATATGCACCTCGGCATTAAAGTCATTTTTTATCACTCATGTGGTTCCACATTCGTGATAAAAAATACGACTTTACTGCTTTGATACATAAATAACTATAAGTTGACATACTATTATTATTTCTATTATTTAAAGTAATAAACTAAGGTGTCTCTATTCGATCTTGGGTCTTTTTAAATAAAAAACAGTTCGTTCATTCTTGATATACAATTAACTACAATTACTTTTAAACCAGTCTCTTACATATCTTCAACATTCCCAATCTCCGTTAAAATATTTAGGTATGTTTTTCCATGGAAAAGTGCACTTATCAATGTATTAGTATCATCTGCAACCTTGTCAACCCATGATTTTAACTTTTCACAGAATTTGCTAAATCATTAACATAAATCACAAATAATAACGGTACTTCCTTGCGGAATTCCAATACTGACGTTTTTTAGCGATGACTGATGTACCAAACCATTCTCAAAAGAGATTCTTACTATTTGGCAACGATTTGTTTAGTATGACCAGGGCCGTATTTAGCATGGGACCAGCGGGGCCACGGCCCCAGGGCCCCCACCATTTAGGGGCCCCCACCAATGCAATATGTAGTTTTTTAATGAAACGAATATGAAAAAAATTGTCGAAAAGATTGGGTCGGTTATACCGCGCGAATCCTGTAATTTTCAATTAATTTTTCGTAGATTTAACTCTAATTTTTCGCGGATTTTTATCGCTTATCCGCTTGCAAATCAGAATGTAAATTATCACCAAGTTTTGGCGCGCGAAGACGTTTTTATATAGTCTATAGTCATAAGTTATATAATTTTAAGCAGTTGCTCCTTTAGTGCTTGTCGTAACGTTTTTGTAAATACAGGCAAACATTCAATTACTTATAACCTAATATTAAAGTTATTTTTTGTCGCAGATTTTTATTGGAGTGTTGTGGAATATTTTCCGGAGTTTCCGAAATACTGTTTCGTGATTTTCTTTGGACAAAAGATTGTTTTATTGTTTGATTTTGTATGAAAAACAGACAAATAATACGACTTTTGATTCTTTTTTTTTTCAGTTTGCTGTAAGTATTAAAAAAACAAACAAAACATAGATCAATTTATATTTTACTTGAGTAAAATATACATAAGGTTATGTTCGTGTTCTTCAAAATATATAAAATATAAAGTATATAAAAACACATTCATAATTCTATTCTACTATCTACGTTTTTATAGTTTTGCATACGAATTTATAATTTCTCAGACTTGGGTAAAATGTATATAAGGTTATGTTCGTATTATTCAAAATATACAGGGTGATTAAGATTTGTGGTGACAAAAGCTCAGGGGAAATTCCTCTCATCAAAATATGAAAAAAAGTTCCTTTAAACACGTGTCCAAAAATGCTTTATTATCGAGATACAGGCTGTTTCGTTAAAAAAAAATATTTTTTTATTTATAGCTTAAAAACGCTTTAGCCGATTTTATTAAAATTTATATGGTTTTTTAAATAATAAATGATTCAAGGATAATAAAAAATCACATAAACTTCCTCTAGCTTAAAAATTTACCATGAGTTTTAATTTCCCAAGTGTCAAAAATTTTAGAAATATTGAGGGCCCCACCAAATTCGGCCCCAGGGCCTCAAAACTCTTAATCCGGTCCTAAGTATGACTTTATCCACTGCAGTGCACAACCCCTTCCCCCGTAATGACTTAACTTTTCGAAAAGTATTTTATGCTGTAAACAATCATATCCTTTGGTTAAATCAATAAAAAGTCCTAAGGACAGATACTTTCTTTCGAAATCATCAAAAATACTAAATGTATAGAAAAAAACAAAACCCCTAAAATTATGATATTGCCATTTTTGCTATTTTCCTTAAGCCGGCGCTGACGGGGCCCTTAGAAGGGAGGAGGCCCGATTTCGACCGACCTTGTGGATTTATCGGCACTAATTATTACGGTATGAATAGTAATTGGAGTATAATTTGGACGGCGTGTGACGGAGTGACAAAGGGCACACGTTACCGCCGCATAGCTTACACTAATTAATCAGAGCCACTTTGGTCGTAACGTGCCTATTTAGGTAATTAATGAAATTAAGGGCGTCAGGTTATCGGCATTGTCGCCTTCTTTCCATGCTTTTTGCTTCCGGGATTTTTTGTTTCGCAAATTATTAGGTCATTACAACAGCCTCCGGGGTAATAATTTTATCCCAAATCATCAAGCTTTATAAGACATCTTATATTTTTGAAGTGAAACTTCTTTAGAAAGTTGTAGGTTCAAAAAATTAAAGCAAAAACTTCTTTAGAAAGTTGTAGGTTCAAAAAATTAAAGCAAAAAATACTATATCACGAAAAATTAAAACACTTTTAAAGGCCCGTAAGTAGGTATCAGGAAAGCAGAGGTAAGTCAAATCAATGTGTGTGTATTTTGCAACACATCGAACGGTTTTAAGTATTAGGAGAGCATGAAGTCGCAAAGGTTACATAATTTATTTTGCTATAATACCACTATCGAAAAAGGTTACGTCAATTAATAATGTGGCTGTTCATAAGTAAGAAAGAGATAAAAATAAATCAATCCAATATGGCGGTAGGGGTGAGAAGGATTTACTATTTCTTTACAAACTCCTCGATATTGTTATCAAATGAAAGTGTTTTGACAAGTAGAAAACGATAAAGTGGGTAAAATAATTTAAAATTTCAAAAATTTCCAAAATTCTTAAAAGTTTTACATTTTGAATTTTTCAATTTTTTTATTTAAATTAACATTATTTTAAAATTACTAAGATTTAGTTATTTAATAACTAACTAATCAGTAACTAGTCGGAAGCTAGTCAATAATTAACAAGTTACTAAACAGTATAGCCATACCATTTTCTAAACAGTAAAAAAATATTAATTCATTTTAACCAAATATTAACTGGATTTTATGTTAATCCAGGTCCACATAACTTTTTGTTAAGTTTACAACCAACTGTAATATGTTAAATTATTGAATATGTAGTACAATTAAATAACACACCATTCTGAAATCATCAAATTGCAAAGAAATTTGTTACATTTGGCAATTTTCGGTACTACTAAAACACTTACTGTTGTATTTCGTAACTATAACCCACTTCACTATATCCCCTAATTTCAGTTTAAAAACCAGTCATGGCATCTTTTTTCGGATACTTCGCACTTCGCACACTCGTTAAATTGGTATAAGGAATCCGAATAACAATCATAACAGATTTCTGGTAATATATTATAATTACTTTAGACAGTTGTAACGAACACGTTACGAATTAGAATAAAGTAAGCAGAAACATAAGTTACAGACGCTTAAGTGAGTTGAACTTGTTGATGCGCATTGTCAGTGGAAAAGGTTTTGATTAACTGCACTCTTAGAAAAGACCTGGTATTTGCAATGAAAATTTAGTTCCCAGAACCAATTTTATTAGTGAAAATAGGCACAACAAAAAAATATGTTGTGGGAACCAATACAAATTTGTTTTTACACTTTGTTGTCGGAACAGCCAATATTGGTAGCTCCAACCAACAAGTTTAAGTGCATCAAAATTAGTTTTTTTTTCATACAAATAATTGATATTTAATGCAATCACATTAGTCTGTCATTTTAGCAGCGTCTAAGTTGTAACAACTGCACTTGCTATTTATCGCAACAAACATTGTATCATGCAGGAATTTATTTTTTAATTGAAATTACATGAAAAAAGGTACATTTAAAGAATTTAATAGTTGATATAATATAAATTTGTTTTGTACTGTAACTAAGTTATATTTAATATTAAATGCTTGCGTTAGTAGCAACAACAAATTGGTATTATTTCACAGTACATACCTGCTTAGTAAATATAACACTTTTTGTGTAAATATTATAAAAAATAGAGAAAGAAAATTCATGCCCGTTCGTTTTGTAAATATTTATTATAAATTAAAAAATAACAATATCTGAAAACACCAAATTTTGGTTTAAACATTATAACAAAAATTAATAATTACTCTAAGAAAACATTTATAAGTATTTTAACAATAAAACAAAAACGATTCTTTGGTAAATATACACAGATAGGTACATTAAGATGAATGTTGACTATACTTCTTCAGTAAACCGTGATGTTTAACAACTTAACAATGATTCTTAGGTACAACGTAACATATTTGCATGATAACAGGGGTAAGCATTCGATAAATTTTGAGTGTGAGTGCCTCTAGTATAGGCCCTATATCAAAAATGCGACAAAAAAATTCTCGAAATTCCGACGTGATGGAGACTTTTGGTGGGCACCATTGGATTCAGGAGGCCATTTTCAGTCGGAATGGCATTTTCACATTTATGTATTTTTTTTTTTCGGGCCCCAAAACTACAATAGTGTAATTAAAGGAGTGCAATAATAATACCTAACCTTTAAAAACTGGAACCAATTCAGGTAAACCCTATGTTCCTAATAAATCTGCTACAACAGTCCGCTCATCCATATTATTTGTTCGAGATATCTATAAGTAACCAACACATAAGAATATATT